CGCTCAATCTTCTGCTTCTTCTTCTCTCGTCCTCCTCCTCCCCCTCTCTTCTTCTTCTTCTTCTTCTTCTTCTTCTTCTTCTTCTTCTTCTTCTCCTCCTCCTCCTCCTCCTCCTCCTCCTCCGCCTCCCACTCATCTTCTTCTTTCTCTTCTCTCCTCCTCCTCCTCTTCCGCCCATCTTCTTCTTCTTCTTCTTCTTCATCTCTCGTCTTCTTCTTCTTCTTCTTCATCTCTCGTCTTCTTCTTCTTCTTCTTCATCTCTCATCGTCGTCTTTTTTTTTACATTCGTTAGCAATAGGTCGCGAAATAAACAACAGGTAAGAAAAAAAAAATAAAATTGCTCCGCTCGTCATCTTCTTCTTCTTCTTCTTCTTCTTTTTCTTCTTCTTCTACTCCTTTTCCGATCATTCTTCCGACTCTTGTCTCCTCCTCCTCCCCCTCATCTTTTTCTTCTTCTTCTTCTCTCCTACTACTCTTCCCTCCGCCGTATCCCGCCGCCATACCCCGCCGCCATACCCCGCCGTCATACCCCCACGCTGCCGCCATACCCTAACGCCGGCATAGTACATCATCATCTTCTTCTTCTTCTTCTTCTTCTTCTTCTTCTTCTTCTTCTTCTCTCCTCCTCCGCCTCCAACTCATCTTTTTCTTCTTTCTCTTCTCTCCTCCTCTTCCTCTTCCGCCCATCTTCTTCTTCTTCTTCTTCTTCATCTCTCGTCGTCGTCCTCCCCCTCATCTTCTTCTTCTTATTCTTCTCTCCTCCTCCTCCTCTTCCGACGATCTTCTTTTTCGTCTTTTTTTTTACATTCGTTAGCGCTAGGTCACGAGAGATAAACGACAGGTAAGAAAAAAAAAAAAAAGCCAACACCCAGACCCCCCCCCCCCCCCCCTTCACACCCGAACAACTCTTCCCCCCCCCAAAGCAGAATTTTATTGCAGATTCGAGGTCCTCTCGCTGAGCATAGGAGGACCCCACCTTCAGAAAAATAAAAATAAAAAAATTATGGGCTGTTTGTTTGCCCGCCCGGTTTGCCCGGGTGGCGTCCGTACTCAGAAAAATAGTCTATAAAGGAGAAGGCAGTGTGTTGGGCGTGGTTCTTCTTTACTATGGTGAAGGCTCTTACTCCCGGATGCAAAGTGCGGTATGGTTCAACCAGGTTGCATTCTACCATCAAACGCTGGATGGGGACTGCCTCTTGTGTGGATTGGCTGGTCGTCGATCTAGGTATATGATCTATTGACGGGTCTAAGGTGGCATTCCAATCACCTGCGAAGATGCAGGGCATTAGAGGAGGGGTGAGATTCCCTACACTTGCTACGAAAGCTGATCTTTCCGATGAATTGTTCGGTGCATAGATGTTTATTATCCTCACTTCTTCTTCTTTCCACCGTAAGTCCATCAGACACCATCTCCCTTCTGTTGTGTCTGCTTCTGAATTCACTATGGAGCCTGCCGAGTAGAGACTGACATTTTTGCTCCACTACTCTAGACTCTCGAAAATTGGAGAGTTATGCCTCGCTCCATTTACACCAGACAAACCTCTCGAAAATATGCGTTGAGTGCTGTCAGAAAATGCTTCAGACCCGCACTCTCGACTCCTCTAGAGTGCCTCAGCCTGCAGCGCCCATTTCCTCTCGGGTCCTCCATTCTGGTCTCGAAAAGTCGCTGAAATTCGCGAGTCTACGGCAAGTCTGGGTGGGCAAACCAGGCTGGCGGTGTGGCGTTGTGGAAGGGGACAAACCAGACTGGACTCTCTACTGTTCGAGCGCCCGTCTAGAGTAGCACCCTCTAGTGTAAGTGGAGTGAGGCCGACTTTTTTTTAATGTTTTCTAGAGTCTGACAACACTCNGAGTCAAGTGTAGTGGGAGTGAGGCCGACTTTTTTTTAATGTTTTCTAGAGTCTGACAACACTCGACGACTTTTTTCTAGAGTCAAGTGTAGTGGAGCGAGACCCATCCACCAATCGTTCCACACTCCCAAGAAACAATCCAATCATTACAGTGAAGGCTAACCCCAATCGCTCCATCTCTTTCTTCGTCTACACGCAACAAGCCACAACTCCTCTGCCGTGGGACAATTCTGCCGTCATCGTTTGATGTGCAAAGAGGTAACAGTATAAGAGTGTACCTATGCATTGAGGTGTGATCAGCCTCGTTCAACAACAACAACGACAACAAAAAAGGTGACTCCAAATGTGCAAAACGAGACTGAATCTTGCGCTACAGCATGGCAAGATACACCACCATATTTTTTGTCTTTTGTGCATGCAGAGAGTAGTAGAGCGAGGCCCATGGTAAGAGAGAGCAGTCATAGCATCAGTAAAAGCTACGTTAGCATGCGGACGATTACACTCACCAATCTCTTTTTTTTTTTTTTTTTTGAAAAAGAAAAAGAAAGCCTTATGGCTCCGGCTCCGTATCCATTCTGGGGAGCGTCAGTCCAGTTCCTATTCCCCCGACAAGTCAGAATAGTTGCACAACACACTCCAACGCTTGTTCCCTTTATGACAGAGAGACCAGAGTGGGTGGCATTGATTCCTTCCATTCTTGAAGGATGTACCTTTGGTAACCGATCTCTTAATCACAAATTGACTAGCATTTCTTTTTTTTTCCCAATTTCGCGTCTGAGATTGCACAGCGTATTGTTTGCATGGGTCCTGGGGACCAAATCACGCAAGAGTGTTCAATCAGCGCCACCTCAGCAGATTACACACAACTCAAGTAAGTTTCCACCATAGCCCATCTCCTTACTTACAGTCTCTGATCTCAGTCCTTTTGTTACATGCCAAGTTGGGCTATGTATTCAGCCAAGGATCCGCAATGTGATGAAAAGGACTGAATCGACAATGTACTGTTAGTGAAACATCAACAGACAATGTACATCCCGATACATGAAAAATGGCATTTGATAGCACAACGGAAGACTTTGAGATAAGTTCTGACCAGACCTGACCTGGACTGTTACGACATCCCATCATACATCACACATGTGAGAGGGAGAGGAGGGACCGCATGCATAGACGAAGGTCCCTCCTGCATACACACATGGGGAGATACCACGGATGAGAGATGGAGGGGGAGGGAAGGACGMACATGGAGGCAAGGGAGAAGACTCAAGATCGCAATAGCGGAGTTCGGAATAGTCCCTGGCCGAAGTCCAACCAATGTCTGCCCAAAAATGTCGAACCAGATCCTGGGCCCAATGCCCGTGACAATCCCCGCCTGTAACCTCTGCAAGTAACCACTCTCACTCTCGTAGTCTGCCGAAGCAGTGAAGTCAGACAGTGAGAGGATAGTGAGGGAGATGGTGGACTGAGAAGAGGAAGAAGAAGAACTCTCTCTCTCTCTCTCCGGAGCCAGGTACTAACCTGTGATGGTGACGCTGTGCTGCAGGTACCTCGATGACGAGCTGGAGCTATGGCGCCACAGGTAAGTCACCCTGAAGGTGGCGTCCTGCTGCAGGTACCTTGAAGACGAAGCTGGAGCTAYGGCGCCACAGGTAAGTATCCCTGGCCTCCGCCAGCCTCCTCGCTCCACTACTCTAGCCTACTGCTACTAGCGCCCAGCGCTGAAGACTACTGCTAACGCTACTCTACTATTGCAGCCGAATCCTAAGACTACTACCCCCTGCAGAAGTGCACATCGAGTGCCTGGGCAGTCTCCTCTCGTCTCCCCCAACCTGTAGGGCGGGCCAATCTTATGTAGTGCTTGCCCGTCCAAGAGGCTGCTCTTGCCAATGCCTGCACGTGCTAGCCCCTGAGGAAGCTTCAGGGCAGGTCACTCCTGCCAATGCCTGGACGTGCTAGCCCCTGAGGAAGCTTCCGGGCAGGTCACTCCTGCYCATGYCCRACTGTGCTTGTTTCAGGGCAGGTCGGTCTGACGAGGKCCCGAGAATAGCCCTCAGTTTCAGGCTAAAAAGGCTCAGGCCTTTTTTTAGGCTGAAACAATGCAGGGCCCGTGGGCCCCGGATGTCAGGCTTTTGGGTTGAACCGTCATGGGGCCAGTAGGCCCGGAAATAGCCCTCAGTTTCAGGCTGAAAAGGCTCAGGCCTTTTTTAGGCTGAAACGATGCAGGGCCTGTGGGCCCCGGATGTCAGGCTTTCGAGCTGAACCGTCATGGGGTCTGCAGACCCGGGAATAGCCCTCAGTTTCAGGCTGAAAAGGCTCAGGCCTTTTTTTGGTTAAAACGATGCAGGTCCTGTGGGCCCCGGATGTCCGGCTTTTGGGCTGAGCCGTCCTAGGGTCTACAGGCCCTTATTTCCAAGCCTTGAGCCTGAAATTCAGGCTTCCAGCGTGAACGACGCAGGGCCTGGGAAATAGCCCTCGTGTGCAGGCGCAGCATGTAACACCCCCCCCTCCTTATGAAGTCAAGTCGGGTCGGGGGCGCAACCGACGATCTGAAGGTGGAACCTGGACGCGGTTGCGGCGTGGAGCCGAAGATGCCGACTTGCCTTGCATCTTTCGTTCATATCGTACGAGAACATCTAGAGCTGTCGCTTGGAGTTCCGCACGGGTCAACCAGCGATCGGCTCAGTGGGTGCAATACGCAAAGTGTACCGGATACTCGGTTGGCTTGTTGCCGTAGCGTCGCTGGGAAATGATGTCACCGACCTCCTGAAAGCCGTCCATAGAGGGTGGGTCTTGAGATCGTCACCCGGGAAAGTCATCCTGGTCTGCTGGTGTGTACAGCGCCAACTTGGAGCAATGGAAAACCGGGTAGACGGGCAAGTGGGCGGGCACCTGAACTGTGAAGGACGGTCCCTCAGGTGCATCCCCAGCAGGTGCTACAATCGGCCATGGGCCCATCCATTTCGGGAGGAGCTTGCGAGAGATATCCTGCTCAAGGCTGAATTCCGCGGCGGAAACCCACACGAGGTCGCCGACGCGAAATGGACAAGGAAGACGCTGGCGATTGGCCTGCTGGCTCATGCGTTGCTGCGTCTTTGCCATCTGATTGCGTGCCTTGACAAGAAGCTCTTGCATCCGGCGCAAGAAAAGGAGATGGTCGTCGCTCTCGGCCGTGCGTGGAACGATGGTGTCCAGCAGAAAAGTGACCGGAGAGCCATGCTCAAACTCGAAAGGCGACATCCCGATAGTCGGGTGGATGGACGAATTATAGGCCAATTCAACATCCGGCAGCCGCTCAACCCAATCCTTCTGATCAGGACGGATGAGAGTGCGAAGAAGAACCTGTGCCGTCTGGTGCGCCCTCTCCGTCTGGCCATCCGTCTGAGGGTGGCGAGCTGAACTAGGCTTGAGAGATGAGCCCCATCGTTTGGTGAGTGCCAACCAAAAATCAGACATGAACCGAGTGTTGCGGTCGCAGACGATTTCCTTGGGGTAACCCTTGGTTCGAATCCAACCGGCGTAGAGAACCTCGGCCAACTCTGGTGCCTTGGCATGATAGCGACAAGGCAAAAACATGGCAAACTTGGTGAGTCGATCGACTACCGTGAGAATCTTATCCACACTGGTCTTGTGCTTGGGGAGTGGCCCAGTGATATCCATGGCAATCGCCTCCCGTCGGCGCAAGGGAACCGGTAGTGGTCGCAACTCGCCATACGGACGATGATTGCGGGATTTGCAACGTCGGCAAATCTCGCATGACTCGCAGTAGCGTGTGACGTCGTCGAGAAGACCGGGCCACCAAAATCGCTCGCGAAGTCGACCAATCGTTCGATTGACGCCAAAATGTCCGGTGGCGGGAGCATCATGGAACTCGCCAAGAAGCCGTGTACGCAAGTGAGGGTCACTCGGTCTTCCCCCGCGAGTGGACAAGCAAATATCCCTCCTGGATCCGATAGTGAGAAGGTGCCGGATTGGGCGAGGAACAATTTGCGTACTTGTCACGAAACTCGGGGTCGGCCTGGTAGCCGCGGATAAAATTGTCCCGCAAGTCGTTATCAATCTCGAAAGTCGAGTAGACGGCGGTGCAATGGTCCGGACGTCGTGAAAGAGCATCCGCAAAACGGTTTGACTTGCCTGGAATGTGGTCGGGGAAGAAGTCAAACTGGTCAATGAAGGCCATCCACCGGGCAATGGTGCTGTTGACTGTGTCCTGGGTCTTGTAAAAGACCAACAGAGTGTTGTCCGTTACCCATCGGAACTGCCGTCTACCAAGAAGGAAATGCCGCCAGCGCTTGAGTGTGTGTACAAAGGCCAATAATTCCTTCTTCCTCGCGTCATCAATAGAGTGCACGACGGGCACCTTCTTGTTGAAATACTCGACCGGGTGCCAGTCCACGCCATCGTGTTGCTCGAGGACAACGCCAATACCATAGTCGTACGCATCAGTAGTGACGCGTGTGGGCAATAGCGGGTTGTAGATTCGCAAGACCTCCGCTGACAAAAGTGCAGCTTTGAGAGCCAAGAAAGATTCTCGTGCATCCTCCTCGAAGTCAAACGGCGGATCCTCGCATTGAAGCTTGGTCAAGTGGGCCGCGATCTGCGAATAGCCCTTGATGAAGTGCTGATAGTAGCCGGCAAGACCAAGAAACGACCGGACATCCGTGACGTTACGCGGCTCCGGCCACTCCTGGATGGCTTGAATTTTCTCCAATAGCGGGCTGATGCCATCTGTTGTGACAAAATGGCCCAAGTACTCAAGCTCTTGCCGGACAAACTCGCACTTGTCACGGTTGGCTTGGTACTTGGCACGGCGGAGCGTCTCCAACACACGTCGAAGATGCTCAAGATGGTCCTCCAGAGTCCGGCTATAGACGAGAATGTCGTCTAGGTAGACCAGCACGAACTGATCCAACATAGCACGAAACTCGTGGGTCATGGCCGCCTGGAAGGTTGTCGGGGCATTGGTGAGGCCAAAAGGCATGACCACCCACTCAAAATGCCCATACCGCGTCTTGAATGCGGTCTTGTAGCAATCATTCGGGCGTATCGAAATCTGATGATACCCCGACTTCAAGTCCAACTTGGAAAAGAACTTAGCACCGCCCAGTCGCTCAAGAAGATCGTCGATACGAGGAAGAGGCCCCGCATTTTTCACAGTTTGCGCGTTGAGCTTGCGGAAGTCGATGCACGGACGTAGATCCTTGTTCTTCTTCCTTACGAAGAGAACTGGTGCTCCATATGGGGAGCTGCTAGGGCGGATCCAGCCCTTGGCCAACAAGTCGTCGAGTTGTGCGCGAAGGACCTCTAGTTCCTCCTCGCTCATCCGATAGATGCAACCTTTCGGCGGCATGGCACCGGCCTCAAGAATGGTCTCGTGAGAGATCGGCCGATCCGGCACCACACCGGTAGGTGACTCGAAGATGTCGGCGAACTCATCAAGCAGCCGTACCACGCGGGGGTCCGAAGACAAGTCCGATGGTGAAGAGTCGGCTACCGCGCTAGTCCGCAAGAAACATAGGCCTATCTCTTTGGGTTGCTGATATGCACATGTAGTTCGGAACGATTTGGCCGTCACGACTTGGCACCGGATCGAAGGGTGCGGAAGAGGAATAGTACACGGCACCTCGGCGCCGAAATCGTCGCGAACGGCGAGAGTCCGGTGGTGAAAGTTGACCGTGTGATCCGCACTTGCAAGCCAAGGCATTCCCAAAATGATATCGAAGTCCGTGTCCAAGATGTCGAACGTGACCGGTTCGCATGCATGAGGTGCGAAGTACACCGGTACGGCCTCGATGTAACGGTCGAGAAGTTGCTGCGTCTTTCCATCCGCCAACTTGATCGCCGTCGGGTTTTCCTTCCTCCGAACCTGCGCGTCGAGGCCAGCCCTTTGCATAAAAGCTTGGCTCATGAAGTTGCGAGTCGCGCCGCTATCCAGCAAAGCGCTGCAGGACGCCTGCCCAACTTGGATGCGGACATACATCAGCGGTGCATTATTGTCGTCGTACCGCTGCGTGCGAAACTCGCGGGCCACCTTGGTAACATATGCCAAGATGTCCCCCACCGCGACCTCGTCATCCGTCGGCGAAGTTGGTGGTGCATAGAAGGACAAGTACTTGTGAAGATGGGCACAGAGTGCTGGGCATTGCGGTCCCGGTAAGCGTCCCGTGGTCGGGAGAGGAAGCCATGTGAAATCCCCAGACTTGAGCAGGTCCAATTCCTCTATGTTGAACCCGCGCGCCGAATCCCGTGAAGAATCACTTGAAGACAAAGAAGAACCGTTGCCGGACGGAGAAGATGCCGCACACACGTCTTGTCCTTGAGCAAAAGATCCCACCGTCGGAACGAGCCGGGCAGCATAGTCCTCAAAAGAATAGAGAAGAGGACTGTCGACTTCCGCATGCGCCCCGGAATGAAGGCCGGTCACTCGCGAAGAAACCGGTTCCGAAGGCGTCGAGAGTGTCGTCGACTCACTCTCGGCGGCGCTCAGTTTCCCTGCTTGCCCTTCCCCTTGGTAGGGCAGCCCGCTGTCTCGTGGCAGTCGCTATTGCACGACAGGCAATAACGGTACTTCGTGCGTTGCTTGTAAGCTTGCTCCGAAAGACCGTAGGGGGTCCAGGGTCCCTGAGCTGTTGCGCCGGGCCCGGGGTTTGATGTGGTGTTTGTCTTCGATTTGCCGCGTCCTCGGCCTCGGCCGGGGCGGCCACCATCCCGGGCAGCTGCGAGTCTGTCTCCTTCATTGGCAGACTCCGCCTCGCTAGATTGGCTGCTTGGCGATGCCACCGCAACCACGGCCACCTTGGGCCGATGCTGGTCCTTGCTCGGGCCTGCCGCAGCACGAGTGAGGTTCTTCGCCTCCTTGTTCGTGATGATAATCTGTGCGGCCTTGTCGAAGAGTTGCGCCGTCGTTGTCAGTGTGTCCTCGACATGCGTCAAGGCGTTGCTCAACGCCGGGCACGACCTCGAAATAAAGTAGTGCTTGATGGCTTTGAAGCCCATCGGGAGACCTGGGACGGATGTCAATCGTTGGTACTCGGCAATCCAGTCGACGCTTGGCAGGGAGCCTTGCTCGAAGGTCATGAGCTTGTCCATGGCCTTGATCTCCGGCGGCTCCACTTGGAACCGCTTGTGCCACGCCGCCTTGAGGTCTTCCCAGCTGATCTTCGTGTGTAACTCGGCAGCGACCACCCCGTACTGGGACAAGAGATTGTCCAACCATGCCTGGCATGCGCCTCCCGACCGGGAGTATAAGTACGCGTGGTGCTTGCATTCGCTGACGAGGTGCAGCTGCAACGTGAGTTCAAACTTGCGGTACCACTGAACTGGATCCGTCTTTGTTGAATCGCAGAAAATCTCCTGACCATCAAACTTGGGAGTTGACTCGCGCTGTCCCGAACTCGGGCTGGCGGCGGCAGCACAGACCCGCTGCTCCAATTGTTGAGTAGCGGTTTGTTGTAGTCGTGCGCCGTCCTTGAGTGTGCTGACGTCAGTCTCCAATGCGTCCAGGCGGTCTGATGTGTTGGAGGAGCTTGCCACAGGGGCGGCGGCTGGTCGTTGCTCCAGCTGCTGTACGCGGCTGCGAACACTCTTGACTTCGGCATCGAGGCTGTGAAGGTCCTCCTGCTGCACGATGCATGTCGCCAGGAGGTCCGTGAGATGGGAGAGGAGGAGGGCAATCTTGGTCTAGCTTTCCTCCATCTTCCCTGTCTCCGCCTCAGTTCGCCATTCCGCTGCCAATGTGAGTAATGCTTGCTCCCCGCTGAAAATCTTCTCACGCCGCTTCAATCGTTCTTCATCTGCATCCTTCGCTGCTGCCTCGGCCTGCAGACGCTACTGTTCAAGAGCTAGCAGTTGTGCCTCCTCGGCATCCTCCGCCTTCTTCTTCTCTACGGCTGCTACTGCATCCGCCCGCTGCTTGGCTTCTATGATCAAAGCCAGCATGCGGTCCTGATATGCCTCCGCCGTTTCCCCCGGTTTCTGGTCCATGACGGCTGTCTGCGAGCGCGTCAGCATAAACAGGCCC